CAAAAGCTAAAATTATTATTTTATACCTTTATTATATTCATATGGGTCGTATGAAGATATTCTCTATATTTATGCTTATTTTTTAATTATTGCTTATATTCGTTGTTGTCCATTCTATGTTTAGAAAAATGGATATAAAATTGCTGTTGGTAAAATGTTCCAATTATTTGAAGATATTGAAAAAGCAATAAATCGATCCGAAAAAGAACATGCTATTCTAACTTTTAACATTTTGCATTTTTTCCCACCCTTATAACATGCATAATTAATACAGTAATATTGAAGCCTTGAATTGCAATTTTCTATTCGTTGTGGACATTTTTTTCTTGCACTTAAAAGAGTTTTTAATTCTCTTCCAGTAAGTTGAATATCGTGTTCTTTTTCATATTGTTTTATTGCTTCTTCAATATCTTTAAATGATTGGAACAGTTTACCCACAGCAATATAGGTACACTGACCGTCAAAATTAACGCATAATAAGTAAAAAAATTCTAACTCTAAAACGCCTTTACCAATCTTTATAAAATTTTTGATAAAAATACTTTAACTTATATCTCAGTTTACGTGTTCAAGGGTTTTTCGAGAAAATATCCTTAAAGCCCTTTTATTTAATAATAACAAAAAGGCTCAAAAAAAATTTTATAGGGAATTTTTTTAAGTAAATAAAAATATGATGTGAATGACCGTATTTTTGTAAGTATACCCTGAAAATGTTGTACAAATCAAACGAACAGTAACGAAAATACAGCGCTTTAAAGTAGTCAAAAATGACCACTTTTCAGCAAAATAATCAAAAAGAGGTCATTTTTACCGACTTTGAAGCACTGTATCTTCGTTACTGTTCGTTTGATTAATACAAAGTTTTCAACAAAAATACGGTATTTAACAGCATATTTTTTATTTACTTAAAAAAAATTCCCTAAATGTTATTTTTCAAACGTTTTTTTTATTATTAAATAAAAAGGCTTTAAAAATTTTTTCTCGAAAAACCCTCGAACACGTAAACTGAGATATAAGTTGAAGTATTCTTATACAAAATTTCATAAAGATTAGTAAAGGCGTGTTAAAGTTTTAGAATTTTTTTACTTATTATGCGTTAATTTTGACACGCAGGGTAATTATCCATTTTTCCAAAAACAAAATGAACAACAATGAATATAAGCAATAATATAAAAGTAAGCAGAAATATAGAGAATCTCTTTATATGACTCATATGAATATAATGAAAGTACTCGTATGAATATAATAATTTTAGATTTTGCTTCAGTTTAGTGCACAGGTACTCAGTGGCGGCTGGTTGATTTTGGGGACACCCATATCTCCGTTATTAGACATGGGACCCACATCAAATTTATCAGTTTATAATGGCATTATATAGACAAGTTTGCAAAAAAAAAGTTGGTTTTTAAGTGTGCCCCCCAGCCTCCTGCCCCCCCCAAATTAAGATAATTCAAATTAAAGTGGTACAATATTTCAAATTTTATTAAAAAAATTCAAGTATTACCGATTTTACCATTTCTATTTTATTTAAATTTAGTAAAAGAAATAATAAAAATTTAAAATGGTATAAACCTGTAATTCTTGAAATTTTTTAATAAAATTTAAAATTTGATAAACTTCAGTGAATTAAATACTGTACCACTTTAATTTGAATTATCTTAATTTGGGGGGGGGGGGCAGGAGGCTGGGGGCACACTTAAAAACTAACTTTTTTTCGCAAACTTTAGTTTAAATTCTGCTTGCGCAGAACTTGTCTATAATATATTATAATATATTATAATGTCATTGTAAACTCATATAAATTTGATGTGGGTCCCATGTCTAATAACTGAGATATGGGTGTGCCCAAAACCCACCAGCCGCCACTGCAGGTACTTGGATATTTAGCCATCAGAAGGCATTTTAAACGAAGTATTTGATAGAGCAATTATATTATATGCTTGTTTGTATACCTAATTACTAGGGATGGGATTTTAGTTATTTTACCTTTTTTCAACCGATGTAACTATTTGAAAACCAATAATGCCAAAATGTGTTTTAAACGATTTTCTTTTATATGAACCTAACTTGTTTTCACCTTTTTTACCTTTTTTGGAGGTTTTTGCTTTAAACTACCTTTTTATACTTTTCTTACCTATTTTTTTAACTAGTTTTCACCTTTTTTACCTTTTTGGAGGTTTTTGCTTTAAACTACCTTTTTATACTTTTGTTACATATTTTTTAATTTGTCAGTTTATTTTCACATATTTGTTATCTATTTTTTCGTATTTTTACTTATTTTATTTTTTTGTGTTCTTTTTAAATTTTCCGCCAATATTTTATCCAGGGCGTGCAACTCAACGGTATAGAATTTTTTCTTATGGTCACAGCATAGAAATTATTCTATTATTCTAAATTATTTCTATGGGTCACAGACTGTAACAGTAACTTTCTTTACAGTATTTCTTTGTATTGAGCTTATGTTCTGTCATAGAATTTCTGTGTAGTGAGTGTCACTCAGTGAAACACAGTTTATTGCATAGAAATAGTTTATTGTGGGTATGTTCCGTGTTTGGGTATGCGGCTAAACAAAATTATAAAAGAAACTTGAACTTTTAATGTTTTTTTTACCTAAAATGCTGTTTTTTTTAACCTAAAATGCTTTTTTTAGTACCTTTTTAGTTACCTATTTTTCAGTTTTTAGTACCTAAATATCCCATCCCTACTAATTACACACTAAAAAATATTTACTTAGTCTTTATTTAATACCGTTTTGTCTGATTTTTACGAAAATAAGAAACTGTTAGTCTAGTCATACCTCGAGTCATACATCATTATACTAATTAATAATTTATTATAGGTACTTAGGTACCTATACTTTATATTGACTAAAGCACTCGCACAAAAACTACAACCTCCATTGCAGCTAATTTACGACGGAAATGTTTGAACGTTCACCCGGACAAATAGTCGCCTTAATATTCGTCCGGCCGTCAGCTGTTCAAGCATAGCGCGCAAATACCCGGACAACAATCGGGATTTCCTGGTGAAGTCATGATGATATCACAACGTGATTTTTTTATCACGCTCTGATATCTTGAGTGCATACACATGCTTCATCACCGTGATATCATGTAGAACTCACGGTGTGATATTTGCAAAATTTGCATGCGCATGAGCCCTGCAAACTGCGAATTTAAAACCTAGTTTGTTATTCACATTACACCGTTATAATTTATAAAACGTTATAATTATAAAACTTATAAAACGTTGTGAAACGTTGGATATCACGAATGTTGTCCGGGTTCAATTAAAAAAGATATTCCAACAAAACGTTCACGTTCACGTTTTGTTAAACATGGGAATATCTTTTTTAATTGAACCCGGACAACATTCTTGATATTCATACGAACATCATGTCGTGATTTTCATAAATTTTATTCATACTGATATTATACGGAAGTCACCGCGTGATAAATGAAAATCATACGAACGTCACGTCGCGATTTTCACAAATTTTATTCATACGGACATCATCCGGATGTCAATGCGTGAGAAATGAAAATCATGTCGTGATTTTTTATGCCATCACTGTTTGCGATTGACCGATGGCCTAAAAAATCACGACATGATTGTTTATGCCGGTGCACCAACATGTAGGTATATTTTTTCTCTCAATGTACGAATGTGGCGCACAATTAAATATCCAAACACCGATGGCATAAAAAATCACGACATGATTTTTTATGCCATCGGTGTTTGGATATTCATTTTTGCGACACATTTGTACATTGAAAGAAAAATTATGTTAACAATTGAATCAACAGTTTACCATTCAATATTTTCTTGGATTAAATTATAGTTAATTTAAAATTATGTTAACAATTGAATCAACAGTTTACCATTCAATATTTTCTTGGATTTAATTTATAGTTAATTTAAATCCAAGAAAATATTGAATGTATTTAACCGCAAAAACTGTTGATTCAACATTATTTTTCTCTTAGTTTACGAACGGAGCGCAAAAATGATTATCCAAACACTGTTGGCATTAAAAATGACGACATGATTTTTTGTGCCATCAGTCAATCGCAAACAGCGATGGCATAAAAAATCACGACATGATTTTCATTTCTCACGCTGTGACATCCGGATGATGTCCGTATGAATAAAATTTGTGAAAATCACAACGTGACGTTAGTATGATTTTCATTTATCACGCGGTGACTTCCATATGATATCAATATGAATAAAATTTGTGAAAATCACGACATGATGTTCGTATGAATATCACGAATGTTGTCCGGGTAGCGCCCGGACAAATAGTGTCAATTACAATTCGTCCGAACGGCCGGACCAATATACCTACACTCCCATATTATTATGTTATTTTTAATGTTAAGTTTGTTTTAAATTTAAAAAAATACTTTTTTGCAAATGCATACATGGAGTGTAAAGCCGGATTTATAGTTCTAAAAAGTAGGAGTAGCAGTAAGCCAGTGTTGCCAATATAATAATATAAATGATGCAATGTGAATGGCTGGAGTAGCGTTCAGTAGCAACCAAGGTCGTTGGCGTAAGAGATGGCCAAGTTTTAACTTTTCTTGCTGCTACTCCTACTCCAGCCAATTACATTGCAGACATTTATGAAGACATTTTATTTTATTATTATATTGGTAACACTGGCTTACTGCTACTGCTACTCCTACTTTTTAGAACTATAAATCCGGCTTAATTGCCATGGATTATGTGTAAACATAAACAAATACCTACCTAGGTACCTATATTCAAAGTTTTAAATGTTTCCAATTGCAAACATTTTATTGTTTATTAAGTATTAAGTATGGCAATACCAAAGTTTTATTTATTTTAAAATTAAATATTTTTTGTTAAATTTATAAATCTAGCTTGAAAGCAATACAGGGTGAAATGTTTGACGTTTCTAGTGAGATAGATAGTTGTTGGGAATGGATTAGGATGGAAGGATCATATGATTTGACGTAGAGCATAGAGCAGCATACCCAAAAATCTCCGTCGTCTTTGTCCCTGTTGAGCAGATCCTCCATGGGAATGCTGCAATTGGCGACGAAGACGTCGGGCGGGATGGCCGCATCGTGAAACACAGTGAGCGTGAGAATTTTGGCGTTTTGCGCCTGCAGCTCGAAGAACTCGTTCCAAAGGGGATCAAAAGTTTTCGGTTTGCTGTCCGTGCGAGCCAAGTGCGTGTCGTCGACATCGACAGTGACATAAGGGTCCAACAGTTCGTCTCCTTTGCCGAATGTATGGCGTCTGCTGAAGTCCGTCGGCCGAAGGCCCGTAGCCTCGCATATTTTAATTCGCAGTGTTCCTGTAAACATGTCCACTGCTCCTCGCACTCACACACCACACCTTCAGCCTGTCTCTTCTGCCTTCTTAACACCTATTCGCGGCGATTTTACCTAAACAACATTAAACTACATTAAAAGAAGACACCTTAAACGAGTTGAAAAAATAGAGGAGCTCGCTTCTAGCTTGACAGCCATGAAGGTCGGATCGGCTGCACTCGATTCCTCCACTCCTCTCTATTAAACCGGTCGCAGCCGTGACACACATTTCGACCCGACAAACTTTCACCACCAGCGCACAGGTGTCGCTACTCCTCTAGCACCTTAAGCTCAATATTTTACACCCTTGCCAGATTTTGACATTTTATACAAAAATTAGGTAATTTTTTAGAGAGTAAGGATAAGATTATTAACTTCATTATACATATAATATTAATTATCATGTCGTTAAATGCGTTAATTTAAGAAAAATATTATTATCTTTGTAGATATGCAACTAATTAATTTTATTGTTTTGTGGGTTGCATAAGTTAAAGGCAAGAAGTCAAAATATTTATCAGGTGAATTAGTTAAAAGGACTTTACGTAGATGTCGCGTAAGTAGGGGCTAGAATTTGACGTTTTCCCCCAAAAATCTTATTATTATTTATTAAAAAATGGGTGTTACGGACGACGTTATCCTGCCCACAGAAGAAGAACTCACCGTCCCGGAAATCAATCTTTCCGGACCAGCTCTAAAAGCTGGAGCCTTTCATCTGGGAAAAGCCTGCGAAAATCAAAATAATGTTAGGTTAAGTGTTACCTAATCTTCGAAAAAATGCCAATTTCTTGTGTTTTAGGAGTTTATGTTGTGTAGAAACGAATTGGGAGATCCGAGAAAATGTATTAACGAAGGGAAAGCTGTAACTAACTGCGCTATGAATTTTTTTAGGCAAATTAAGAAAACCTGCTCTGGCGAATTTATGCAGTATGTTAACTGTCTTGATAAGTCCAGTCCTGATCAGGCTTTTAATCCGTAAGTATTTTTGTCAACTTTAAAATACTACCCAAATCATATGTACCCATAAACTAGTTTCAACCAATTTAAAAAAAAAAATAAAATAATAAGACACTGTTAAGATTGTGCTAAAAACTATAGAAATTTACATTATTTTAGATGTCGTAAAACACAAGCTGTTCTAGACAAGTGTGTGAAAGATAACTTGGGTATAGATCGTCCACCTTATGATTACTACACCAGAGTTCATGTACATAAAACTGCCAGGCCAAGGCTGCCAGTGGAGGGACCCACTGTTTACGAAGACGCTACACCTAGGCTTCCCGAAGACATACCAAAACCAGAAGCCAAATATGGTTCTCGTTACATTTTCTTATGGTAACTGTTCATTGCAATTGCAATCATTGGTTTGTTCTGCTGGATGTTGTTGTAATATGTAGTGCAAAATATATACAATAGTTGTAAATAAATTTCCTAAAATTTTATTGTTATTTTATCAAAAAATGTCTATTATAATGAAATATTGAAAAGGTTTTCATATATGAAATCTGAAAAAATGTTGCTAATAAAATAAATTATTTCCAAAAAATCTTTAAAAATGTAAAAATCAAATGATTGAAATTTTAAGTTAACATTAATACACTGCCCGTTAAAATTAACGCATAATAAGTAAAAAAATTCTAACTCTACTTCGCCTCTACCAATCTATCAAATTTTGGATAAAAATACTTTATCTTATATCTTAGCATATTTTTTATTTACTCAAAAAAAGTTTTCCCTAAAAGTTATTTTTTAAACATTTTTTTTTATTAAATAAAAGGGCTTTTAAAATATTTTCTCGAAAAACCCTCGAACACGTAAACTGAGATATAAGTTGAAGTATTTTTATAAAAAAATTTCATAATGATTAGTAAAGTCGTTTTAGAGTTAGAATTTTTTACTTGTTATCCGTTAATTTTGACGCGCAGTGTATATAAAATTTTGACCATAGAGAATAGTATATTCTGTAACAATTTTGGAATACAGCATATTCCGCTCGAGTGAAAAGTTTCACTAGAGCGGAATATGGAATGACATCAATTTTTAATGTGCAATGACATATATTCCTTAAAGTATTACAGCCCTGCTTAAAATACCCCATAGAGACCCTGTTCAAACCGATACATATTTGTATTGGAATACATTCCAACATGGTTTTTTCTATTTGTAGTAAAAAGTAATTTTTATTAAAATTTCATCAATAAGACCAAAAAAATTAACATTAACTAAGAATTACTTAACCAAATAATTTCTGCGCGTTAAATTGGCTCGCTAGCCCACTGTGCATCGGTTTAAAAAAAAATGTGTCAAATGTTTTATGGTTGTTCTATAGGGATGTCCCTATATATCTTTTATTGAGTTATGGGCAAATTTTCGTTAAATGTACATTTTGTATATACAGTGTGGCCCACTTAAGATGGAAACACCCCCGTAACTTTTTTATTTGTAACCCGATTTTATTGAACAAAGGCTCAAAAGATAGAGAATAAAAAACTCTATTAGAGCTGTTAAAGTTGTTTTCAAAGTCACCCGACACATGCCTACTATAATTTTTTTTCTGTGTCAAAATTAAAAAAAAAACATTTAGGGTAATTTTTACGAAAAAAATAAGTACGCCACTGAATTTGGCATGCTTAAAAATGGGTAAATACCAAACAATCGATTGATAATTATTTTACAACGGTTTATTTATTGATTTTTTAAATGCTTATAACGACAATAGAAACACATATAAAAGGTTAAGGAAAAAAATAGGTACGCCACCGAATTTGGCAGGCTTTAAAATGGGTATATACCAAATTTCATCAAAAATAAACAATTAATAACTATTTTGGGCAAGTTTATTTTTTTACGTTATAATCATTAATACCTAATTAATTATTGCTACAAAACAAAAACTAAGATAGCTATGCTTACAACTTCAAACAAACGTCAAACCAAAAACAGGCGATTTGACAGAAAATAGTAGCGTCCTTTTTGTGTATTTTTTAACAGTGTATTTAAAAGTTCTTATCTACAATCATAATGGCCCATCAGTTAAATTTAGAGCACAAAATTGAAATTGTCCGTTTAGTAGGAGATAACGTTCGTTCAGCGAGAGAAGCAGCTAGAGAATTTAATAATAGGCATCCGGAAAGGCAGCCTATAAGCAGTAGCAAGGCCGGCTTAAGGCAATTGAGCGCCTTAGGCACTTACAAATTTTGCGCCTATTACTAGATACTACACTTCCCGGTCAAATTTTAAAAAAGCTTATCAGAGCCAATACGATAATAATTGATTAATGACAGAGGTTTGAATCCTTTTAAGAGTAAAAATTTTTTGTTAGGTAGGTTTTTTATTTATATAAATATTAACAAATAATATTTTTGTCAAATATAGGTAGTAGGTATTCTTTTGTAAATTCACCTATATAGCGTTAACAACATTATGGCTGATATTCAGGGCCGGCTTAAGGTAATTGAACGCACTTACAAATTTTGCGCCTATTACTAGATACTATACTTCCTGGACCCGGGTAAAATTTTAGAGCCACCCCAAACTGTTAGCTTAAGGTTTACCATATTATAAAGTTAAATTGACTATATCTCAAAAACTGTTCTACTTTCATAATTTTTGACTACATTTTATTAGTGGCTGCTTTTTCACAATGAATAATGTAATTAAAAATTGGCCTAATTTTTTTTTTTTAATTATCTGACATGAAAATGAATATGCGCTTGCGCGGCGTAATACCAACCTTATAAATATATTTGCAACAAAATTTCGTATCGAATGTTATATATTGTTTTCTGCTTAAAAGTAGGGATAATTATCAAGGTTAGTTGAATTGTTTTATGCTTAAAATCTTTGTATCATATTTAAAAGTAAAGATAATTATTAGGGACTGTCTACAGTTCCTACCAGTAGGAATTTTAGTCGCCGAGTCTAAAGTTCCTACTGGTAGGAACTTTAGCCACCTGGTCAAGAGTTACTACCAGTAGGAACTTGGTGTTCTGTGGTTCCCGCTCTTTGTCTATACTGTAACCTTAGAACAAGTAACAAAACCAAACGATAATTGCAAAATAAAAAATAATTCAAAAGTTGTCTTTGCGTGCATTGAAGATAACGGTGAACATTTCCAACATTTTATTTAACTTTTGAATTATTTTTTATTTTTTTTTAATTTTGCAATTATCGTTTGGTTTTGCTACTTGTTCTAACGTTAAAATAAATTTTGTTTAATTAGTAAAAAAAATTTTTTTTTTAAATTGACCATGTTTTTAAACATAAAAGTTGATTTTTCTTGAAAACGGTCAATTTTAGAGCTTATGACAAAGAGTACCTTTTTTGTGTAGAAAACATTGGCAGATGGAATGGGCCTCTCAAAACCGTACTTTTTTCAGGGGCGTAGAAGGAGGAAAAAAACACCCGCTACCGGTAGCGAAGGGGCCCCTTCAAAATCTCCACCAATTATAAGTAAAAATAAAAATTTTCTGGCACAAAACATAGCTTATTATGAGTAGAAAATGCTTACAAAAGCTGTTTTTTGTACGATAAATGGTTCCGGAGATATTCGAAAAAAACAATTTTTTTTCTAAAATTTACACACCCTAGAAAATTGTGCATTTTAGAGGGTAAGTTAATAGCGATTTTTTTCATCTTTTTGGATGAGCTATCACATCCTGAAGTCCTGCGCATATATTATGAAACACATGTATATATATATATATATATATACAGGGTGTCTCACCAGCGATGGTACCTTAGAGGTTTACGGAGAACGGCTGAGGATATCAATTTGAAGATTTTATAGCAATTATTGTACAATTTAATCTACCTTTTAAAATTATTTTAAATAAAATTCCTATTCCGGTTTAACCGGAAGCGACATCAACTTTGTTATTTCCAATGGAACACCCTGTAAATTTTTAAAAATTATTAACTCGAAAACTGTTAAGTTTAGGTATAGGGAATGGTACAGCAATTTCATTAAGAATTTCATGAGGAATTTAAAAATAAAAAATTTACAGGGTGTTCCATTGGAAATAACAAAGTTGATGTCGCTTCCGGTTAAACCGGAAGAGGAATTTTATTCAAAATAATTTTAAAAGGTAAATTAAATTGTACAATAATTGCTATAAAAATTTCAAATTGATATCCTCAGCCGTTCTCCGTAAACGTCTAAGGTACCATCGCTGGTGAGACACCCTGTATATATGTATATACATATATATTTATAAATATATTTAGAAAACTAGAGATATATTTCTAGATTTCCTACCTAAATCGCAAGATACTTTAATATTTTATTTATAAATAGTTAAAAAGAATATATTTTTTATGTTTTACCATTAATTTTAAGTTACATTTTATTTTTGTTTTTACTAAATAAATGTTTGTTGTTAAATATATATTTTGAATTTAAGCCTTTTAGCAAAGATACCAAAACTATAGTTATTATAGAAATACTCTTTCTTATAAGATTAGTAAAACTTCTTTATACAATAATGAAAAAATATGTTTGATTCAATTTTTCATTTATAACGAATTGTATATAATATTAGACCATTAAGTAATACTTTACTTAATGATTAAACATTATTGTAATAAAATAAGTTTTCCAAAGATTTTTATAAAATGGTTTTTTTGTGCAGAACAAGTAAAGATTTGAACATTATTTCCCAAATAGGCCATTTCTAATCTAAACAGGTGGTAGTAACTTTGGCGTCCATAACAGAATTTCCGACTGGTAGTAACTTTTGACTCAGTGGCTGCAGTTCCGACCAGTAGGAACTTTAGTCTTGAAGACTTAAGTTCCTACTGGTAGGAACTGTAGACAGTCCCTAATTATTATTCAGTCAACCACAGTATTGCCAACATCGATTTAAAAAAAAGAACATGCATGCATTGCGCATGCTTACAAACATGGACTAAATGTTATAAAAAGGCACATTTTTTCGAAAAATTTCATTAAATTACGTAACGTTACATTACATTACATTAAATGTTGGCTAAATCCACCTTAACTATAAAAAACAGACTGGTATCACCGAACACACAACACATAGAACTGCTATTGAAACGTGAAAACACCTAAATCCTTCCGGCAGCAGTTTTCCCTTGCATCGCGTACCCGCTGAGGTAAGCAGCATACCACAGCGGGTACGCGATGCAAGGGGAAAGCGTGTGATTTTAGCATACGGGGGTTTTGAAATAGTTTAAAAAGTTCTAAAGATATGTTTATACATGGTGAAGTTTACAAATAAAATTATGTTTTAAGTTTTTCTTTGCAGTTTAATGCTAAGATTTTTGTCGGCTTTACACCACGTTATTACAAAGGAAGCCGCATTTTAAAAAAATAATAAAAACAGGTATATTTGGTACCGTACTTATAATTGTATATTGTTTATTTGTTATTTTTCGAAATAATTAACCATTTGGAACAATTTTTATTTTTTTAAGTTGGTTGGGGACAATGCGCCTATTTCTTTGTGGCGCCTAAGGCAATTGCCTTGCCTGCCTAATGGGTAATATGGCCCTGAGCAGTAGTACTGTTTT